CAATTAATCGATGAATCGTACAGAAATTATATGGCATGGATAAGAAAAGCTGGTATGATATTATCTCTAATTTTAAATATTGTATTGTTTATTATTCTATTACTCTCAGAGATTGGCAACGATAATGTGGATAAAGAAGATGCTGATAGTATGTCAAATTAAGTTTAAAATTTTATTCATAAGCTTTTAATTTCGTTGTTTTTTCACTTATAGAACAACTGGATGGTGAACCAAGTGAAGTTGGACAAAAAGAACGAGTTCCAGAAACCCATTTAACATGGCTCAATCTTAAATTGTAGGTTTTTCTTTTCTACCTAATTTGTATTTTATTCTCAAGTTTCCACTAACTACTTTAGTCGTCATATCCGTAATTTTCATTCATATACTCGTCGTCGTATTCACACACTTGTGAAATCACAAGCATTTTATTGGATCATTATTGTTCTTGTATTATTAAACACCATTGTCTTAGCATCTGAACATTATCCTCAATCGCCTACATTAACAAAGATACAAGGTAGGATCAAAATGTTTCTTTAATTGATCTGTGAGATAGATTTTATTTTATTTAGATATGGCTAATCGTGTATTTGTTTGTTTATTTTCATGTGAAATGTTATTAAAAATGTATAGTTTAGGTGTAATCGGTTATTTTGTATCTAATTTTAATCGTTTTGACTGCTTTGTTGTTATTGGTTCAATAATTGAATTTGTTTTACTTTATTTCAATATCATGCCACCATTGGGTATTAGTGTATTACGTTGTGTTCGATTATTGAGAGTATTTAAAGTAACACGATATTGGTTAGCATTGAGAAATTTAGTTGCATCATTGTTAAATAGTATGAAATCAATTGCATCTCTATTATTATTATTATTTTTGTTTATTGTTATATTTGCTTTGTTGGGTATGCAAATGTTTGGAGGAAAATTTGATAAAATATTCGAGGTTGAAGAGAAACCTCGAAATAATTTTGACTCATTTTATAGTGCACTTGTCACAGTCTTTCAAGTAAGCAGCTATAGACTTGTTTATTATTTCTCTTATAATTGTAAATATTTATTTCCAGATTTTAACTGGCGAAGATTGGAATGAAGTTATGTACACTGGTATTCGGGCATTAGGTGGTATTGGTTCATTTGGCATAGTTGTTTGTTTTTATTTCATTATTTTGTTCATATGTGGTAACTATATTCTATTGAACGTGTTTTTGGCCAGTAAGTACTGATTTCTATGACGAGTACAGTGATAAATTTTAATTAAATATTCTTGTCTACGTGATTAGTTGCCGTTGATAATCTTGCTGATGCGGAAAATTTGACAGCAGCTGAAGAAGAAGAGGAAAAAAAACGAAAAGAATTAGATAAAGCGAAATTGGTAGGAAACATATGAACATTCTTGAAGAAAATATTAGTCGAATTCATTTTTATTTTTCTTACAGATGGATGAAGTAAAAGCAAATGGTGACGTCAAAGTAGAGTAAGTACACAACAACATAAGTCATTTTTTATTATAGAATAATTCATTTTTTTGTCGTTCTAGAGATGAAAACGGAGAACGTCCTAGTATGTAATTGTTTTCTCATCAATGATTTGTTTTATTTTCTAATTTATAAATTTTTAGATGGAATGGATGAGACATCATCGCCACTAGGTGATGAAAAGGAGAATAAAAATCAGAACAATGATTTAAGAGAAGAGGATGATGATCAAACGGGAGATGATGAACAACAGGTAATGAATTTGATAGAGGAAAAGTCGAGAACGATCATTATAAGTTCTTGTTAAATTTAGTTGGAAAATGAAGAAGAAGCAGATAGACGAACAGTGAGACCCAGACGATTATCCGAATTGAATATTGTAGAAAAAGTAAAACCAATACCACCACATAGCTCATTGTTTATATTCAGTCATACAAACAAGTATGAAAACAAAAAAGAATGAATAATCATCATGTGTAGTTATTTTATGCTTTTAGATTTCGAATATTTTGTCATAAAGTTTGTAATCATCGGTGGTTCGGTTTAATTGTGTTGGCGTGCATTTTATTATCGAGTATATCATTAGGCGCAGGTATGTTGTACTAAAAAATGTTATTGTTGAAGTTATTGTCAATTGGTATATTTTTCTTTTTCAGAGGATCCCGTTGATCCGGAATCATTTAGAAACATGGTACGTTTTGCCTTTGCATTAATAAAATGTTAGGATGATATTTTGCAGATAATAAAAGCCCATTAAATTTTCTAAATGAATGAATGTTAGTGAATCAATTTGTTTTCTTGAATTCTGCTTTCTTTTTTTCAGATTCTTAACTCATGCGATTATTTTTTCACAACCGTATTTACAATTGAAATATGTTTGAAGGTATAAGTATTTACTATTTGTAGTAATTTTAAGTGAACGTTTTTGTTTCAATTTCAGATTATCTCCTACGGTTTAGTATTGCATAAAGACTCTATTTGTCGAAATTTATTCAGTATTCTTGATATTCTTGTTGTCTCGGTTTCATTAACATCCATGGTGATTAAGTATGTTTTACTCGATTAAATAATTAAACATACGATTGTTGATCGCTGTTTTGTCTTGTAGAGATCGAGCAATGTCTGTGGTTAAAATTCTTCGAGTACTTCGTGTTTTACGTCCTTTACGTGCGATTAATCGTGCTAAAGGTTTAAAAGTATGTAAACACTACCTAAATTAGTTGGAATAATTTTTTTCACTCCTTCTGTTTCATTTCAGCATGTTGTACAATGTGTCATTGTGGCTATTAAGACTATCGGTAATATTATGTTGGTCACATTCTTACTGCAGTTTATGTTTGCCTGTATCGGAGTACAATTGTTCAAAGTATAATATTTAGATCGATCATATCTTCATTAATTTTATATATATATTCTTTATCTTTAAGGGAACATTTTATTCATGTGCCGATATATCAATGTTAAATAAAGAATCGTGCAAGTAAGGTATTCAATCTGATTTGATAATATTTTGTCTATACGATTTATTTTTTAGGGGTCATTATTTGAAAATTGAAGATAAACGTTTGAATAAACATGATCGCATATGGTTCAATAATAAATTTCATTTTGACAATGTTCCACAAGCATTATTAACATTATTTACAGTTGCTACATTTGAAGGATGGTATGTCTTATTTAATCAAACTTTTTATGTTTCATTTTGATAAAATCGTTTATTTTCATCTTTGTTTTAGGCCTAAGTATGAATTATGACGTTAATTTTGCTTAATACATAGTTATTTACGCACGTATATGTTTCTTTTTCCAGTCTGTTACATCAAGCTGTTGATTCAAAAACAGAAGGCCATGGACCTGTTTATAATTATCGGCCATTTGTTGCACTCTATTTTGTTGCATTTATTATCGTTATTGCATTTTTCATGGTCAATATATTTGTGGGTTTTGTTATTGTGACATTTCAAAATGAAGGTGAACAAGAATATCGAAATTGTGAATTAGATAAAAATCAAGTAAACATATTAGAAAGAGTATTTGTAAAACTAAAAGGTCAAATTACTTAAGAGACTTCTATGTTATAGCGTAAATGTATTGAGTTTGCATTGAAATCACGACCAGTTAAACGTTACATACCAAAAAATAAAACTCAGTTAAAAATATGGTGGTTTATTACATCACCACCATTTGAATATGCTATATTTGCTTTAATTATGATCAACACTTTGTGTTTGGCAATGAAAGTAAGCACACTTTATTATTATAATCTTTTTTTAAAATGATTTATGCTTTTCAGTATCATAATCAACCTGCATCATATACAAAAGCACTTGATTATATGAATATTCTATTTACAGCTATATTTGGACTTGAATCATTATTAAAAATAGCTGCATTTCGTTTTAAAGTTTGTATTTTGTTTTGTTTCTAGTTTACACATTAGTTTATAATGAATATATTTGTTTATTCTAGAATTATTTTGGAGATGCTTGGAATGTATGCGATTTTGTTATTGTACTTGGCAGTGTCATTGACATCGTCTATAGTGATATTATTGCTGTAAGTTAGATAAATTGTTCTATTTTTTAAATAAATTTATATATATTTTTAGCAATCAAAGTTCATGATTCATAATAAGATTATTCTTTATTTAATGAGACTACCGCATCTATAATAAGATCTCAAATGTGTCGAAATTTATGTAGTCGTTGCTTTTGTATGCGTTTCTAGTGCATGTTTCTCACAAAAAGCGAAGGAGATGATATCATACATACTATGATATGATCGACAGAACTGTGCATTTCACACCTGTTTGTGCAGCATGTGAATAGCCATTTACTTCAAACGAAATGGTAAAAAGGTTTGAGCTAACGGAAGAACTAATATTTACAATCTACATAGTGTGACCAGAATTATATCACTCACCGTTAACAGATGGAGTGAGCACCCGTTTATCTATTTATTAGAGAACCAGCAAATAAGGGAACATCTCTTTTCGCACATGCATGTCCTTCTGTTCCCTGTGCGTCTTTTCTAGTAACGCGCTGAGACGAAAAACTGTGCCGCACATAGGATATCTTATGTGGAAAGAAATATTTCCTTATTTGCTAGATTCCTATTGACATTTTTGAGAGCAGATATGTTCATCTGAGAAAAAATAAAATATTTTTGTATACGCGATTAAAATTGCATATTTTAATTAGAAATAGAATTTTCGGTAAAATATTCTTTTATAGCCTTCTGATCTATATTTATATATTTCAGCGTGTTTTAAAACTTCATCAGGTATTTTCTGTTGTATAGATTGTTGTCTACTGTTATTAATGTCAACGTGGGTAAATGTATTTTTTCTGACTGAAATGAGTGCTCGTTACGAGCATTTTTCTCTAGTTGGTTAAAATCTCTAATGTATTTAGCTTACAGAGAAATCCTAGAAGCGTGAACTGTAACTGTGATATTTTTGTGAGTTTCATCTAAGTATTATGCTAATATTCTTCTTGTTGTGATAGTCGTTGTTAAAAAAACAATTCAAGTTAACGTTGAATTGTTAAACATAATGAATTTAATTGATATATTGTCAATTCTACTTTTATTGTTGAAACTCTAATTTGAAAATAACAAATGTTACAACTGTGTGTTTAACAAGGTTATTTTGTCTGTTAGAGAGGCTATCGTGTTCAAATAATTAAATAATTTTAGAACTTTCTGTAATATGATTTTAAATTTTCTTTTCTAGCCCGGTAGTAATGTAATTAGCATCAATTTCTTTCGATTATTTCGTGTTATGCGTCTTGTTAAATTGTTGAGTCGTGGAGAAGGTATTCGAACATTATTATGGACGTTTATTAAGTCATTTCAAGTAAGTTTTACCATGAACAAAAGAGCAATAACTAACCATTTTTCTGTTTCTAGGCATTACCATATGTTGCTCTACTGATTGTTATGCTATTCTTTATCTATGCTGTTATTGGCATGCAAGTAAGCTACCATTTAGTTATATTCTATCACAACACTATATCATAACATTCAATAACTTTTTATCCTCATAGGTATTTGGAAAAATTGCTTTGGACGATGATACGCCAATTACTATCGATAACAATTTCCAGACATTTTTCAGTTCATTACTCGTTTTATTTCGGTACAGAAAACTAATCTTTGATGGTATATTTAAGATTATTTGGTGAAATAAAATGTATTTTTATCTAGGTCTGCTACTGGTGAGGCATGGCAAGAAGTCATGTATGCGTGTGGTCCAAGTGCAAATGCTAAATGTGACAAAAGAGCAAAACCAAAAGCAAATGATACATGTGGAAGTTATTTTTCTATACCATATTTTCTTTCATTTTATATATTATGTTCATTTTTGGTAGGTATTCTATTCAATGTCCTTTTACCATTCATTGAAATATAAACAAATTTTTAATTAATAGATAATTAATTTGTTTGTCGCTGTTATCATGGATAATTTTGATTACTTGACACGTGATTGGTCTATTCTTGGTCCTCATCATTTAGATGAATTTGTACGATTATGGTCAGAATATGATCCAGAAGCGAAGTAAGAAGAAGCAAAATGAGCATGAGGCATGGCTACAATACTCTTTTATGTCCGTTTGCAGAGGTCGAATAAAACATCTTGAAGTTGTAAATTTATTGCGAAGTATAACACCTCCACTTGGTTTTGGAAAATTTTGTCCTCATAGGATTGCGTGTAAGGTATCGATAGTTCCTCTGTATAAATCATCTCAAATGTGTTGTTCGTATAGTAGACTTGTTGAAATGAATTGTTGTCTCCAGCAGTTTTAAAAGAGTACCATTTTCGAAAATAGTTGTTATACACAATAGTTATGTCGTTACTTAAGAACCAGTGCACTAGGGGAATAAAGAATAATGCTTAATTGATGTTCGAGTTTTAGGCTGAAACTATAACTTAAAGCTCCCTATTCCGTTTTGAACCAACCTTAGAACGGTTCTGTATCGGAAGCAAAATAATTCTAGTAGACTAGCCTTTATACGTTAGATATCGATACTATTACTTCAGATACAGAGTCGCTCCAAAGTTGGTTTAAAGCTCGATTGTCTCGTCCGATTTTTGTACGATTCACATCATATAGTGGAAATTCAAAATTTTAACTCTTTAGCTACGTTCTATATCAAGTTATAAACGTTACAAAATGTCTTTTTAGTAGTCATACAGTTCCACCACATGACAAGGGTTTTGATAAAAATTCTATAACTTTTTAACGGGAGCCTTCATACTCAAATTTTTTGAGCACTTCCTGAATACGTTTTGTTAACTACCGTAAAAGCTTTAACCTAAAAGTCGGACATTAATTGAGCATCATTCGCTGTTCTTCAATTGCCCTCGCTGTTAATGTCATCTAAAAAGTCAAAAATACTTATAATTTTTAAGAATGTTGAATTTGAGTAAATCACCCGTATCTTTTATACGTATCGACTCTTGATGTCTTTCCTTTGCTGTTACGTATCTGTTGTATTATGATCATCTGTTGTGAATATGCCTAAAAAATGGCGTTTAGAAAATAAATCTGTCTTGAAAATGCTTTTGGTATGCGTCTGTATATTGTTGTTGTTATTTATTTAGAGGTAGAATAAAACACCTTGATGTCATAACGTTATTACGAAAAATATCACCCCCACTTGGCTTTGGTAAATTGTGTCCTCATCGTGTTGCATGCAAGGTGGGTAGCTATAAGATAATTAGATGTTTACTGTGCTTGTCGAACTCTTATTTTCTCTATGTTAATTGTTTTGTCATTTCTTAGAAATTGGTCTCAATGAATATGCCATTGAATATCGATGGAACCGTTATGTTCAATGCCACTCTATTTGCCCTTATTCGGACATCATTAAAAATAAAAACAGAAGGTAATATAGATCAAGCAAATGAAGAACTGAGAACAGTGGTAAGAAAAATATGGAAACGCACACCACAAAAATTATTAGATCAAATTATACCACCACCTGGAAGTATGTTGTCTTTGAACAACGCTTATATCTTAAGTGAAATGTGTTCGTAATTTTCTTTAGGCGATGATGATGTAACAGTTGGCAAATTTTATGCAACATTTTTAATCCAGGATTATTTTCGTCGTTTTAAAAAACGTAAAGAGCAAGCAGCGAAACAAGTGACACTAGGTTTTTCAGGTGCAACGAAAAATGCTGTTGCGTTGCACGCTGGCTTGAGACAAATCCAAGATATGGGTCCGGAGATAAGACGAGCAATATCAGGTGATTTAGACGATGAAGAAACATTTAATAAATTTTGGAAAGAAGAAGAACCACAACATCGAGTACGTTCATTTTTTAGTTATAGTCAATAAAAACAACGTGTTTATATTCGTTTGATTTTAGCGTGAGCACACATTATTTGGCTCGATGGTAGGTGCATTTCAACGAGCAATGCGTAAACCACAACAGATGCTTGGCTATGTACCTGGTTTGACACTTCAACCAACGTTACAAAATACAGCGCCACTAGGTGGACGATTAAAACGTGAACCAGATGGACCCGTATCTTCACAAGACAATTCTATGGAAAATTACGTACCATCACCGTTTAGAATAGGGTAGGCAGATGATATTTAACAGTCATTGATTATTGCTGTTCTTTGATTCTGTTTAGAGCAATATCGGCTTATCGACGTGGTATTGAACCAGATCAGTAAGTGATGCGTCTATTGACACGAAAGATTAGCATTAGCAAGTACTCATTCTTTTGTCATTCCAGATATGTTTTTGAGATACCTGAAGATGAAGACCGTCCATTAGCCCCATTGACACTTAATGATCGTCAAGGAAATATTCGAAAAGAAGGAAGTTTTCGACATCGGTATATAGTCGCTTTATTCATTGCTGAAACCAGCAGTTACTTGTTTGTAATTTCGTTGTTTAGTGAACAATCTGAAACATCGAATAACAATAGTATCCAAGTAAATCCATCAGCATCAAATCGACGTCGTTCTCTGTTGGCAAGATTATTTTCTCGCCATAAACAAGATAGTCAAGAATCGGCGTTAGTCAAAGGTTCGACGAGTACAGACGATTCAAATAATATAAAGACAGCTGTAAATATTATTAACTTATTTAAAATTTAAAATCAATTTGTTGCCATCTTTAAAAGTTTTCATCATTTTTATTGTAGCTGAAAATTCAACTTGAGCAAGTTATGTCTGTGCTAAAATGCTTAAACAGTCTCGTTTTTTCAGATGGAGTTCTAATAGTTCGCTTTCCTCATCATTTATTAGTTCATGCCTATGTTTTAGTAGCAAGGAGGCTTCCATTTTTGCACTTGTCAAACACCATATAATCACTAGTGCGTAATAATTAGAAACAGTGAAAGGTGCTATCTTTTTTAATCACACTAGTTTGTGCTTTCTGGTGATAGAAAACAAATTCTTATATTCACAGACAAAGGAATTTTATTTGTTTATTTACTTTCTAGACATACAATCGGGGCCTAATGGTAGATGGCGAACCAGTTCGCAGTGAGTTTTCTTATTTTTCTGTTGTTGTTTGTCTTATTATATCGATCCAAAACGTTATGAAAATTAAAGGTTTTTGAGATGTTTGAAATGTAGTATATCGCTGCATATGTGAAAGCTTTTCTTGTTGATCTCTACTTAACATTGAGTGCAGAAGAACACTACTGAAAACTGTAATTATAGATATTCATTAGGTATGTCTGTCTGAAAATGTGTCTTTTCATTGTACTACTTTTCGTGTACTTGTATCAGACAACTTCTATTCTCTTGTAATTCGTAGAACTATTTACTTATAGCACGAATAGTGAACCTGGATGGCGCACTACCGTCTGGGTTAACACAAAATCTTCTGACATCCACACTTATGTCTGATCATTTATCAGAACATATTGGTAAGAGTTCATCGGTTCTTCTACCAAAAAAGAAATCTAATCATTTTTTTTCTGCTCCTTCAAATAGCTCAGGAACGTGGCAAAAATCGTCCGCGATCGATTCATTTCGATCCTCAACAACATTATCATCATTTCTCTAGGGATGAGGCTGAAGCATTGGTTCGAACATGTCTCGATAGTCAAGGTATTGATCGTCGCTACAGTGCATTGATATTAGAAGAATTACGTAGCGCAGCTAATTTAACACACGAACAATTACAACAAGCAGCACAAGAAATAACATTATCGACACCACAATATGCATCATTTGCCTCATCATCATACAACAGTCCCAATACTCCACCATCACCTGAGCAAATTTTTTTGTATGACACAACGAATTTTGTTAATGTCTGATCTAACCCAACACAACAGTTATTCCACATCACCTCACTTTGTTTTACATATTTCACTTCTTATCACGGTGCTTTATTCTACTATGTTTGCCTTCCGTTAAACTATAGTGCCTACTGAGCCTTACACACAGCATCTATGAACTTTAAAACAAGTGATTTTCAGTCATCTATATTTGGAAAAAATCAAACAGCCTTTAATTTGGAAGGAACTTTGTGAATTCGATTTCTTGTCTATGATACATGTCGGTTGATGATAGAGTCTAGTCGACATTTTCTGTTTTTGTTTGCTTGTATATTTTTTCTAATTTCAGAACTCAGTCTGTTTACTACGATTTAAAATTATATCGTTTACTATCATCAAGATAATGTGTGTGTTTCACTTCTCTATTTCCAACTCTAAACAGTGTCTCTCTATCGATGGTGTGTTTATTCGCCATTTTTCTTTCCTTTTTAATATTGAACAGTTCATTTTGCCTTTCTTGTCCTCTCACAATCTTATTTTTGTTATCACATTTTTTATTTTTAATTGTTTTACTTTTTACCTGTGCATATTATTTTTATTGTTCCATTTTGAAAATTTTATTTGTGTGAAAAATAATAATATTTCATTGGTTCTAGCCATAATTAGGTCAAGTGATCCCAAACATAAATATATGGTTGTTTATTTGTTATGGGAAAACGCTGGTAGATATCCGTTCTCTTTTGATAGTAAATAGTTAGAAATTTGTTGTTCATACCACAAAATGACATTTCATGGTTTCTGTAGGATGAAGTCTAGCAACAACAACCTTATTGTCTGGATGTTGATACAGGTAAAGTTTCAATTGGGCATATTAACGATACGATAATTTAGAATGGATAGTAGAAATCGCAGTAGAGGGATGTGCTGCGATGGCCGAGTGGTTAAGGCGTTGGACTTGAAATCCAATGGGATCTTCCCGCGTAGGTTCAAGTCCTACTCGCAGCGATTTCTTTTTTTTCTTTTTTACTTTGATGCTTTAGGTATTTTCTGATCCGAAAAGTGAATTTATAAAGTCTCTTGTGTTAACAAAACGTCTGGTATAATTATCTTGATCGCAAAATTCATCATGGTTTATATTCTTTAAGAGTTTAATTGTTAGTAAAATTGTATACTTTTTTCATACGCCATGATTAATATAGTGCAACTTATCGTCTAAGTATCTCTTTGTTTGAGTGAATGATAAATTGGGTAACTCCAGAAAAAAAGAGGAGAGAATATAAAATATGACTTTTACCTTTTCTCGTTGTTGTTTGTTGCTCCTATCATATGTTATCGAACATGATCATAAACCAAATCATCTTATTTTCTTTTGTATAATGTAATTGATGTCACATACACTTATTAGAGATTTATTATCAGAAAAATATCCTTGATTCTATCGAATAATAAACAGTAAACATGACAACAGGTGTTTTGTCGGTTATTTACAGTTACGCGTCAACTCTCTCTCTCTCTCTCTCTCTTGCTTACCCTTGTTTTTTCCACTAGATTAAGATATGTTTTGGTAGTTTTTCTTTTCTTCTTCAAATGTCTAATTACGTGATGTGTAGATAGAGATAGTGTGGCATTTATGATTATTAATAATGTCAATAAACGTAGGCTGAATTATTATTATGAGTAGATGAAACCCAAATCTGTTAGTGGTTTACATATCTATACAGGAATCGTACAATTGGAGCCAATAGTATATAGCGTTTTAAAAATAAATTCACTAGAAAACGTGTACGACCAAATTTCATCACATCATAAACTATTTTAACCAATCTCACCTACAAACACACACAGCGGATCAATTTCGGTAAAGATTTTAATATTTATTTCTGTCATGTTATTTTTGCATTAAATGAATGGTGCAGGCGACTGCGATATTTTGTCAAAAAGAAAAAGAGAATGTAAAATGTAACAAGGGCATCGTTCTACTAGAACAGAACAGTTCTTCTCTTTTTTTTATTATAGTAAAAGAAAAATTTCTTCTATTGCCACAGAAGGAGAAAGTGTTTGAAGTAAGTGCGTTTTATACATATATTTTTTTAAAACTGGATTAAAAAACTCACCCACACATTAGTACGAAAAACAAATAGACTATATTGGAGTAAGTTATACATATACACTACTACTGTTCGTAGGTTAATCGATCGACATAGATCAATAATTAGAAATTAAACAAAACATAAAAATATGTCTATACGTACAAAATAAGAAAGCGTAGACGATTAACATTATGATAAAGAGATTCGTTAATGTCACATTAAATGACAATAGGCTAAAGAGAGGGAGAGAGAGAGAGAGAGAGAGAGAGAGAGAGAACGTTTAAGTCAGGGTGAGAACTGTTGAACTATTTGCTTTTGGAAAATTTGCATTAGGATAAGGATATAACATTTATCGTATAACAGGTTTTTTAAAAAGAAATATTGATTAAGTGGCACTTACCTTTAACTATTAAACATAACACGTATTCTGAGATTGATTATTTCATTTTATTCTCTGCTTATTTATTATTTTATCATATCTCTTAACTATTCTTATTTACTGCAATGGTAATATTTTCCTAGGTATAGAATATTCAGATATTTTAAATAATTGACAATCCATCGACACATGAAATTCTTTTAAAGTTTTTACTATAAATATTTGTGTGTAGATGGCATATTCATTCATGCTTATTTCTGATATAAAAACATTTTCATTGTCACATTCTTTTTTTTCGTCTCTTACAATTGGCCTTGAATCTCTCTCTCTGTCTCCATTTTCTTTTTCTTCCAGGAATATTTACTTTTGTACGTCATTTCTACACTTTAATCCTTGTTTAGAGATGATTTGTATATACACATAATTAATCCTTTAGAATACATAAAACAAAAATATACTTGTCTTATATTACATTTTTTAAACTTTATTGGGTAAAAACAAAAAAATGACTATGCAAATACTGCAGTTATTTAAATCTTCTCGACCAGAATGAGTCAGTTGATATTTCTTGAAATTGTTGTTGCTATTATAAAATATCATTATTATTTTTTACAATATATTTTGTTTTTGTCGTCTTGTAGATTTTTGTTTCAGTAAATGTAACAAAAATATTTTTGCATTTAAAATTAAAAGTAGAAGTATGGTTTGTCTTATTCAATTCATTGGCAAACATATATATATATATATATGTATATACATATATGTACATAACACTACATAACACTCTTGCTTTTTCAGTTTTCGTGTAGTTGAAATTGTATTTCAATTGTTATTTCTACTTTTCTTTGATTTATAATGGTTCCTGTCAAAATACTAATATTTCTTATCTTCTGTGCTTTAACACGCTATCCTATTCCATTAAAAATATTTTTTTTGCCCTGCAACTAACGATAATTGTGCATATTTCCGAAAACAAAACAAAAGAAAATAAGATCAATTTTATCTTGAGATATTTTGAATACATTATTATTTCGAAGTATTCGCATGCTGTTGAACAAAAATGTGCCCGTTAATCGTTAGAGTTCTAATAAGACCATAAGTGGATAATGATGATAGATCTAGTCGTGTATGAGTCTCTTTCTTCTGCTATGATGTAATAAACATTTTTCCTAGCATCATTGAGAAGTTCATTATCTCATAATAATTTTTAGTGTGTGTATACATTATTAAGTAATAACTTAGTTTACTAACTTACATACGTTTGTTACACCTAGATATATGAGACAAAAGATATATTAGATGAAGAAATCAAAAATCTTTTCTTGATCTTATCAGACCGTTTCTCGGTCTTACTTTAAATCCATGTCTATGTGTAAAACTTCCAATGAACAGTAGCAAATGGAAACCCTAAGATGATACTGAGAATGGTAGAGTGTGCTCTTATAAAATAGATTCCATGCGCGTGTCACAATATGCGATTTTATGTTTCGACATTTCGGTTCGAATCAATATTAGTACGCGGTGTAATGTAATTTACCTATTAATTTATTCAATAAAAAAATGTTTTTTGCATTGTAATTTTGACTCGTAGGATCTATTAACGAAACTGAGCAGACTAGATTCTTCTTTCACAAACACATCTACGTAACAGATCCTACTAAATTTCAATCAACTTAGAGAAATATGGACGCCATTACGTAATATCAATATACAATTTTTAAATTGCCTAAATGCCAAGTTTTTTTTGTCTCTATGTGCCATTCTTTCTTTGTTCTTATGTTTTCGATGTGCACATCTATTTACATGAGATGATTTTTTTTCTTCTTCTCTACTCTATAGGTAAAGAGAGGAAAAAAAAAGATGTGATCCTATAGGATAAAAAAAAACAGAAAGAGAGAGCACCGATTCCATTATTTGAACCACAAGTGACTACTGTACCTTCATGCTGATAGTTGTTTAACTATTTTATATACCATATGAAAATAATAAACTTTTTTTTTGTTTCTTTGTCTATTTTTTCAACTCACATTTTATATAAATATCTAAGAAAAGAGTTAGGCAAACAACTGTACAGGAAATAAAGAATACATAAAGGCGTGTATAAATACCCTTGTTTTTTCTTTTTAGTAGACATTATTACAACGGCAAAAGAAAAAAATCATGTGAATATTTTTTTGGCGTTTTTTTTCTTCTTCCTTCACGTACAAGAACGCACACACAGACAGAGAGAAGTAATAATATTTAAAAAAAAAAGTTGTCCGTCAAATAAATATAACAACAACACACACCGTTGTAATATTAATAGTAAAAATGAGATCACAATAAGCAAGAGAACGAAAAAAAAGAGAAAAGAATAATCATAGCTGTAATACTATACTTCAACTTCAGTGGCATAAAAGAGAGGCAGAGAGAAATAGAAACAGATAAACTAGTTTTTAACACACACACACACATTTCTTATGGCAGAACATTTGTCCCAGAAAAGAACAATGTCTATCAATTTATGTAAACAAAACAGCTCCCATTTTTTGTATTCTTCCACTCTCTCACTCTCTCACTCCTCTTCTATTCTCACATGTAAGATTTGTATGTACTACTGCTAGAAGAATAGTTCGTCCATCTACTTCCATCTTCCATTATCAGGCATAATCTTTTACCCCAAATTCAGAACAGAAGAAAATATAAAAGCAGAATCATGTGTGTGTGCTCATTTTTCATTTGTGCGAAAAAGAAAAAATTTGCGCTACAGGAAGAAAAAAATACAAACAATAAAAATCGTCATTTTTTTTCACCGACAATAGCAAAAAAACAAAAATAATTGTTTTCGTAAATGAAATAAGATTCGGATGGAACTAAGTTAGTTTAAAATTAACAGCAATTTGTGTAAGTAACGACATCACATACCTACCATTCTATAACTTTGTTCCATCTAATAAAATCTTAGAGTACTGACTTAATTTTTTTTAGAGAGGTGCATTTCATCACCTTATCTAAGTGTTTGCCCAATTTCATATCGGAAGTAGTAAAAGGCCGATTATTATTAGTCACTTTTGAAAAGAAATAAACGGCTTTTTTTCACAGAAACGAGAAAATATTCACTATAGTTCAAAAAATGTTTTTTACAGAAAATATTCACTGCTATCTCGATAGTGCATCGACTTCAAAAAGCATAAAGTTTATACCGATCTCTCGCTCATTCACCTGTACATGAATAATTTGAACAAACGGTTCAAAAACCATACGCGTTTCTGTTCATCTATACAATGTAAAAATTCTTCTTCTTGCAGACGACATATTTTAATTAATGATCTATTATTATCTTGATAAAATTTAAATCGATATATCTCACCGTACAAATACAAGAAAGGCATGAACGATTCTCATAATCGTACAGTAATACCTGTAACAGTTAATTCATCTGACGATCAACGTTTTATACCATTTCGTTCATCTGGAGCAGAATCTGATATTTCTTCTCGTATGTCCGTTAGAATGAAAGAATTTGAAGAAGAATGTCAAAGATGGCGTGAAAAATTTTTTAATGAATCTCGTATAGAACCAGGTGGGATACCATCATCATCATTACCATTAACACGGCCAAGAATGCGTGTAGATTTTCCTGATTTTCCCGAATTTTCAACTGATTGGCCTGCGTGGAGAGGAAGTACATTGACTAGTGGTAGTAATAATAATCAACGGAGTTTTATTGAAGAAGATTATGATGGAAGAAAAAAATATAAAATACAGTTTGATATTGGTGAATTTAGACCCGAAGAATTAAATGTTAAAGTAGAAGGACGACTATTAATTGTTAAAGGCGATAGACAAGTAAAAGTTGGTAATGCAACCGAATCGAAACAATTCAATCGTGAGTTAACATTACCAGAATTTGTTGACATTCAAACATTACAATCGTACCTATCTCCTGATGGAAAACTAACGTTAGAAGCACCTGTTATCATGGATCGTGTTTATGGTTCAAATGCATCACAGTTAGAACATCGCCAAGTAAATCCGGGAAGAATAGTTGACACAACATTTATCGGTGGAAGACAGCCTACATCATCGTTTGGAACTGGTGCATTGGGTGTCGGAGGAAATACACAATCGTCATATTCATCAACATCTTCGTCATCATACAGACAAGATGGCGGAAAAGATTTCGGAAATAGTAGTTTTCATCGTAATAGTCCACTAAGAGACCACATAGCATCTACATCTTCAACATCGTCAACATTGGGTGGTGGAAGTAGTTTGTTAAATAGTCAAGGACCAACCACGTATTCGACAATAACGTCTCGCCCTGATTATACAATAAGCGATAGAGGAGATGGAACAAGAGTCATTAACTATACATTTAATCTGAGCGAATTTGCTCAAGAAGATATTGCCATTCACGTTAATGATACTATGCTAAAAGTAACAGCCAGTAGAAATGAACAAGATGGTCATAGTTCATCCTTGAGAGAATTCAAACGGGAAATTGGTTCGTATACGGTGCTCTTTATTATACTGACATACTATTTTTTCAGAAGCTCAGATTTTCTCTCTTTGATTCAGCAGTAATAACATAGTAGTGTCGTACACTCAATTTTTTAATCGAGTGCAAAATTCTGACGTTGCCAAATGATTTGGCATCATCCTATAAATATCTTAGTACGAAAATGTTTTATTTTTCTTTAAACAGGTTTACCAGACGGAGCAGAAGCCAAAAAAATAACGAGCACTCTAAGCTCTGAGGGTACATTAAACATTCAGATACCCGTACAAGATTATCGACCATTACCAACGCCCATACCATCCCAGCAATATAATCTCGGTGGCGGAATTGATACATATTCATTAGATGATCAACAATTAAAATTTACATTTGATTTAAGTGGTTATAGACCTGAAGATGTCAATGTAAAAGTGAACGAAAATCTATTGAAAGGTATGAATGAATGTTTGATTAAATAATTCACTCAAAAATTTACATTAATTTATCTTTTTTAGTACAAGCTATACATATCGATAATAGTCGTGGCAATCAGATTAATCGAGAATACAGTCGTCAATACGCTCTACCAAATTGGGTAGATATTGATAGTTTAAGAGCAAAAATGAGCGAAGATAGTATACTAACAGTCGAAGTACCCATTCCTCATGATCGCATTGGATTACGTGGAAGCAAATTACGATAAAATCATAAACTCTTCGAACATGTTCTTTTTACATAACAGTGATGTTTGGTGACTCCAGTATACGCCTACCATGTTTCAATCAAAGTGTATCTGTCACTTAGCCCGTTTAATTTGTTGTACAGAAGTGAAAGTGTATCATTGAAGCAAAATCGATTTTTATCTTTAAAAAATTAGCTAACGAACAATGATTGATCTCAATAGACAATATTTGCTGTTTTCGCCTTGACATAGACAAACAATTTTAGTCAAGACATCAATTTTCTCTTTTTGTTCATTTCCTAGTCATCATTTAATTTTTTATTATGATTTGATTATCAATATTCATTACAAGATGTCAATTTTTATTAATTATATATGTTATTATACCATCAAGAAAAATGCATTTATATTGTTAGAATAACAAAGAGAAAGGATCGATATGATAGAACTAGTTTTTGTTGCTATGTGCAATTCAAAACTACGTTACCCTATATTTCTCATAAATAAACTAATCCCACTTATAAAAAAATGAAAAATTAAATAAGAATAGTAAAGACGACCTAAAGCGGAAACTTTGATGTCTATGACTTATTTGTGCTTCTGTTTTGTTACATTGTCTCATTTTGTTTTATATTTTTTTTAAAAATACTTTCTATGAAAAAACGATAGTTTTGTTTCTTCCACTGTTACTATTTTCTCTTTAGATAACATTAATTTATAGATAGAATTTCTCACTCTATAGCTTTGTTTGTTTTTAGGTGAACAGTGCGTTTTGCGTGTTATTGCCAGTTTTGTAATTTCTGATTTTTATCATGTTTCAGTTTTTTTATTCTACTTTGTTCTGTTTCTAATATCTTATACTCGGCTTGGTAATTCATTTTATTTTGTTGTTTTCTTTCCAAGAAAAATATGTGGGTGAAATTAAATCGTACTTGTTATAAATATGGAAGAAAACGGCGTTGGTTTAAAGTCAAAGTCGATCGAAAAATACAGTGGCGGCAAACATTTTCCGTATATCCAGAGTTTTATTTCTTTTGATCATAATTCGGTAAGGAAAAAAGCTTTTGACAATCGGTTTCCACCAAAATATTGTTCATTCTCTCTAGTATAGTTGCAGGGAAAAAAAGTTAGAAATTGTTGCTCTTTGTATTAGACTAAAAAGTGAACCTTTTCGGATCGATAAAAGTTTTCCGTGCAATTGATAAAAATTATTTTTATGTTGTATAAGTACAAATTAAATATGAAAACTATATCAGTCGATAGAAGAGAGCGCGAGCTACATTTCGGTAAAAAAATCATTTTGAAAAGTTTCTTTTCTTAGGGTGAAATGTGATTTTAAGCCAAAAGTGCCATACTCTTTAGTTTGACTGCACAATCTCAGGAATGAGTGGGTGAAAAATCTTCTCCGGATCCGAATATTTTTCGTCCACTCATTCCTGAGATTGTGCAGTCAAACTAAAGAGTATGGCACTTTTGGCTTATACTCACATTTCACCCTAAGAAAAGAAACTTTTCAAAATGATTTTTATCAACTGCACGGAAAACTTTTATCGATCCGAAAAGGTTCACTTTTTAGTCTAATACAAAGAGCAACAATTTCTAACTTTTTTTCCCTGCAACTATACTAGAGAGAATGAACAATTTTTTGGTGGAAACCGATTGTCAAAAGCTTTTTTCCTTACCGAATTATGATCAAAAGAAATAAAACTGGATGTACGGAAAATTTTTGCCGCTATTGATTGTTAAGAGTAAATGTTTTTCTATTTATAACGTCCAAAATTTTTATAACAGAATTAAGGCATACCATGAACATGTAGTGAACATTCTATGACTAATGAGTGAAAAACAGACGTTTTAACAGACATAAATTGCTATACTAGAAACTACTCTAGCACCACTCATTTT